TTGTTAGTAAACTCCTTATCCTAATCTTCTCTGCATGCAAGGAGCTGAGTGCTACTGGGGACAGTTACCCAAACATAAAGACCAGAACCATACACACAATGGGCTCCTTTCCGCCAAGCCCTCAGCACTGCCCATCCATCCCTCTGTCGGTCCCCAGTATCTGTCTCCTGCTTTCCAAAGAAATTATTGCAGAATTGACTCCCTCTCCTCAAACCTTCCTCCACTGCACTCATGTCAGAATAAGGAATAAGAAACTTCACAGGGAAATTCCTGTGATGAGCTTCTCTATCAATTACAAATTGCAACCTCTCTCTGTCAATTAGCTCTAGCTGGTTCTCAAACTCCAGCTTTTCCTTCCTCTCCTAATGAGCCACTTTGAAGATATGGCCACCCTGATTGTCTGTTCAGGTTTAGCATAGAGGGAACGCAGCCACATGGCTGACATGGGGGTCTGGGTACAATGCGGGAGCTCCTATCCAAGGCAAGACAGAGGCAAGCTAAATAAGACCCCATTTTTTGGAAAAATTAAAGTTCATGCACTAGAAACACTCAGAACAAACTGGAACCCTAAAAGGACAGTGGCAGGATCAAGAGTTTGGGTTATGAAGCAAGAGCACAGAGTCCTAGGAGATTGTATCACAAGGAAAAGCAGATGAGGAAGGAGAAGGGAAGAGTGGGTCTGGGTTGTTTCTCTGAGTAGCCTTGGAACATCCAGACCATCTTTCGTGGCCTTTGGGTGTCATACACTAAAGGGGCGGGTGTATAGATTGTCTTAAATGTCAGGGAGGTGTAGGGTGAGATCAGGAAATGAGGCTGTTCCTGAGAAAGGTGGTGTGTGTGGCCTTCTGCCCTCCTTCCTGGCCTATTCCTCTCAAGGATACATGCGCTGAGCTGTCCATGGTACCAAAGTCTGTCTTCCCTCTCTGGATTGTGACAGCCAGACTAAGGGCGGGAGAAGAGTCTGGGGATTGTAACAGGATGTCTTCCATGTCCAGGATATCCTGCAGGACAGTCTTACACACAGTAGGACCTCAGTTAATATTTGTTGAATGAATGATAAATGAATCAGGACACCCATACAGGTGTAGGCATGTCTGGAAGATGATTTGTCCATTTGTTGCTCCCTTCTATCCAGCTGAGGCTGTTTGCACACTGACTTCATGAAGACTCATGTTCTGTGTGTGAGTCCCAAAGGCCAGATGAGTTCTAACCTGTTTATACCACAAAAAATCAATCTCGGCAAAGCAGGGTTCTCTTTCCCACCACCTCATCCCAGGAGGTAGTGTGTTCTTGTGGGAGGAGTCCTGGACTCAAAATTAAACACTGGTGTTGTGGTCCCTTCATCATCACTGACTTGTTGAATGAGCTTGGAAAGGTCACCTACTCTTGGGGGGCCTCAGTTTCCCCTGGGAATAATTATCTCTGCCCTTATAGGGTCATTGCAAAATTAAATGAGCAAATGAATTGAAAGAGCTTTACAGATCATAAAACATGGTGAATGGGCTTAGGACTGTGATGGTAATGATTTTGGGTGTGGCATCCAAGATAAGGTCTTGGCCAGGCAAGGTATGAAATCCCTTTGAGGATAAAACATGTGGGTGATTCTTCTCTGTCGTCCCCCAGGGCTCAATAAGGGCACTATGGAAATGCCTAGTAAGTCATTAAATGAGACTGAATTTCTTTCTTTAGAAGACCCTTAGTAGTGACCCAGATCTGGAGGTTTTAGGCCCAAGGAAGGTAAGGCTTTCCAGCACCTGCCATTCCCCAGGGATTAGCTGTTCTTTCTTTTGCACCCATCCACCATCCCTCTGGGCCTCAAGTAAAAAGCCTGGAATCTGAATCTCCAACTTCACCAAGTGCCTCCTGTCACCATGGACTTCTATAACCATCACTATGTGCAGTGTGGCTGCTACCCAAAGGGAGGGCAATGTGCGGCATCAGCATCTATTAATCAATCACTTTCAGAAATACTACTCAATGCAAAATCGAAAGCAACAATTACGCTAACTACATCCATTTCTTGTTATTGGAAGCTATTCAATAGGGGAGCTATAATTATTGTGCATCTATGTGTCATTTTACAGTTTTCAATTTCTTACTTATGTTTGGCCAAAAATTGATAAATACATAAATTAAGTACAACCCATTGATTCATACCCTGCATGGAACCACAGGGTGCCCTGTGGATCTGCTGTACCAGTGCTCACATGCCTTTCCTTTCCTCCACAGCTGGCCATTAATTATGCCCAACCTCAGTCTCCTGGGCACTGTCACAGGGCCATGTTAAGACAAGCTGAGGTTTAGGTGTCTGTAAGAGAGAAGATTTGACTCAAGCCCAGAGAATGGGCCTGGGTCAGAAAGAAAGGACTCTAAGTGCTCAGGAAGTGATGGATACAGCACAAGGACTCTCTGATGTTAGTGGACATTTTACAGCCTGTTTGCAGTAGCCTGGAGGGGGATCCAGATCTAGGGAGGCTCTGCTTCTCAGCCTAATTATGGTGGCTCAAGGCATGATGGTTCTGCTTATCCTCTTCTTTCCTCTACTTCTCCAAATGACCCCCCTGTCCTAGGTCTCTGCCTTGACAGCACTGTAGCTCCTCGTCTATCTCCCCCTGTCCACACCACCTTTCTAGCCATATCTGAACACATATTTGACTCTGGAAAAGAACCTGATGTGAGGGGTCAGATTGGGAGAAGAGAATGTGAGAATCCTTGGCCAAGTGCTCCATGGCTAAGTAGTATCCAGCCCATTCCTATATACCATTCTGATACTGGGGCCTCGGGCACCCTGCAATCCATCCTTTTTTTCATCCATTCATTTAATAAACATTAATTGAGCACACAATATGTACCAGTTTCAGTTTAAATGTGTCCATTGATTGAAACATGTGAAATACTTTTGGGAACACTTTGGTAAGAAGTAAAATGTCAAAGCTAGATGCATATGGAGTCAAAGCTCATGGCACCTGGCCTCACTCACTTGCTCTGTTAATTTGGGTAAATTGTTTAATTTCTTTGTGCTTCATCTTCCTAATGTGTAATATGGAAAGAATAATAACAATGGTAAGGTCATGGTAAGGATTAAGTGAGGTATTAGGTTGAGTTGTATGAAGTTGCCACCAGTTGGCTATTTTTGAACTACAAAAACACTAATTTCATGTAGTTTAGCCTCAACAAGTGCTTAACACAGGGTCTGGTTCAGAACAACGGCTCAGTGAGTGGTAATGTTGCTTCTTATTCTCCAGAAGGCACAAGCCTAACAGAGAGTGAGTTCTCTCACCTCGACTATTAGTTTCACGCTAGCATTTGAAGATGAAGCTCTTTCTAGCAACCACCAGGAAGGTTTTGACTCAAGATTTACATACTCAATGGGTTAGTTTTACCCAAGACTGGGGGACAATCATGTTAGAGCAGGCAGTGACCACCAACAGTTCGTGACTAGCCAAGGAGTGACCTAATTGTGTCTGGGAGGTGGCATTTCTTTAGGTTTTATTCAAAGTGGCACACATCAGTTAAATATAAGGTTAACTATTAATGCTAATTAATACTCTCTCCATTATTTTAACAGAGAGTTATGTTTCTAGGAAGTCATAATGGAATGGGAATTGTCTATAGTTAATCACAGATAATGTGTCCATTAATCACAAATCTATTTTTTTAAGTGCCAGGAAGAGGCAGAGCAGGAGCATGTTGTCTGTGAGCTTTGGAGAGTTCAGTCTTCAGTCCTAGGGGGCAGGAAGGGGAGTGGAAGGCGGGATGCGAGTCTGCTTCCAGAAAGCTTAACTCCAGGAGGAACATAGAGCCTGGAAGTCAGGGCCCTGGACAAACCCTCCTTTCTCTGCATCTTTTTCTCTTGAAAGACTTATTCAGGCAGCACTGTCACTGGAAACATCAAAGGCTCTACCCTGCCAGAAACCAGCCCACCTAACCTTGTGTCCAGAGCTCCTCCCACAGCAGCACTGGTCTCTGCTCTAATGCTCAGAGGTGAAGAGATAGCCAGGATCCATAAGCTTTTCCATGAGCACCTTGTGGGCAAAGCAGGCTTCTCAGAGCTTTGCAGATTTTCTCAATGCCACTAGGGCTTTTCCTTTCATTCCCTCCAGCCAGGGCCCAGTTCCTGCTTCTCAAGGAAGTGAGGCAAGGCCGCTAGCTTTGTGGTCTCCTGGGGACTCCTGGCTTGGCAGAGCAAAAACATACCTGATACCTCTACAGCTGCAAGACTCTTCCTAGTTTTCCCTAATCTCTCTTTCCTAGCATGTTTCCAGTCCTTAGAAAGAGCATGAATGGGACCCTGAATTCCCTTTGGCTCTTAACAAAGAGGCTGTCTTTTTATTTACAGAGTCAACAAGATGAGAGGCAAAGAGAAAGCAAAAATACACTGTGGTTTGCCAGTCATTGCCTTAGAGCAGGAAAGCCCCACCCCACATGTTGCACGTGAGGCAGCAGAGGCTCAGAGACGGGGAGGGGCTTGCCCAAGGTCACACAGTAAGTCTCTTTTCCTTGCTCTAATAAGCTTTTCTTTCCACGATTTTGTATTAAGTGCCAAACTGTAGGCCACCCCCAGAGAAGAAGAACAAGAGAACCAATCTCAAAGTCTGCATCTCAGCCATAGAACCCTCTGTGTTATGAGGCCTTAGGGAAATGCAACCCCCCAAGTTTGAAGTGAGGAGGCCCCCTCTTGAAAAATCAGTTAAAATGCCCTCCTTTATGCACATGCCAACTTTGACTTCAAAAAGACTTTATTCCCAAGGATAAACAACCCCATGTTTGTGTAATATAATTAAGTGAAGGCATCTTTAAATGTCATACTAGCTTGTGCCCATTTCAAATTGTTATGCATCAACAGAACTTAACGAGATAGCCAAGCCTTCTCCTTGCTGTGAGGCTGAGATAAGCCACAGCACTGTGGGCCCTTTAATAGATTGCCAAAATAAAGCATTTTCTATGCAAATTATTCATGCAGTGGGACAGCTAATCGCCTGCCAAGAGCCCGCCCACTGCCTCTCTGCAATTAGTCGTGAAGTTGAAGGAGCTCCAAACTCCGCAGGCGCACTCAGGGCCTCCTGCTCCTATGGCTGGTTTTCAGGTGAGCAGAAACTTTCTTTCCTTTGGTGGTGGGGCCTGGACTCCCCCACAATGGAGACAGATGAGGGGAGTGAGTGGTGGGCAGGAGGCAGAGAAATGGAGATAGAGGGCTGTTCCTGGAGTCCCAGCCTAACACCTGACTCGATGTATATACTGTGTACTTGGACACACCCTGAGACTCAGTTCCCTCATCTATAAAGTCACGGTGGACACTGGTCTGATGTCTGGTGTTTCAAGGACAAGGGGCTGAGGGAATTGGGAACACGCTCTGCTTTTCCTCTGCTCAGGAAAGAGCCCACTGTGGGCTTGCAGGACACTAGAGACTCAAGATCAAAATAGGGACTTTGGGTCAGGAAAACCTCCAGTGTCCCAGCCCACCCCGGCTCCCACCACCACCTGGCATCTGTCATCATAGACATAGGATGTCTCTGTGGCAGCCAAAGGAGAGTCCCAGATAATTTAACCAATGACTAGAGCTCCCCCTCATTCTTACACAAACCAACCAGCGCTTTTGGTGTCTCTCTCTCCCAAGTCTGTCTCTGAGTCTCTCACGGTCTCTCTCTCCCACCACCAGCTGGTTATGGTAGCCGCTCCAAGGGGGACCAGCATCCAGTGGCCTCCTGAAACATAACCTAGACAGTTTCGATCTGCCAGAGGAGGATGGGGGTATCTTGCTCTTGCCACCATCCTGTGCAGGGCAGTACCCCCAACCTGGGATCACATGCTCACTCTCCAAAGTGGGTGGAGCCAAGACTGTAGCCTACTTTGGGCCTTCAATCCCAAGATCTGACAAGCTGAGCCAAACCCGAGTTTGTCAAAGGAACAGACTTGCTCAGTGAGGGCCCAGGAGCCCTATGAGGGCAAAAGTCATGTATGTGCACATTCGTGGGAGAAGGAAGGGACTGTTTTTGACATTCTGGGAAGCTTTAGAAGTTACTTGCTAACTTGGTAAATTAGGGTTTGGGCTAATCCATGGGTTCTCAAGTCAACATTTTGCTTACTAAATGGAAGGTTATTTTTCTCATGAGGGTTTGTTAACATATCAGAATGGCAGTCACTTAACCTAGCAGCAGAGTGTTGGATGATGGATAACTGCCTCTGATATTATGCAACAGCCTTTTGATGCACCAAGAGTCCCCAGGGAGGGCACCAATGAAAAGATGGTTTAGTTGGGACTCTGAGCATGAGGTATGCCCGGTCCCATGCTGAGTGCTAGTGACAGCCCACACAGTCAGAGCGTGCAGCCGCCGAGCTTCCCCAGAAGCCTGGGGCAGCTGTTAACCTTCCCAATGGAGGTCAAGGCCCTAAGGGCACCTGTTTCTCAAGACAGGAATGACCCCAGAGGAGCAGCACATTGAGCCCTTGCTGTGGAATCGCATTAAAAACAAAGGAAGTGCTTAGATTAATGAATCTCTGCCTCCTTGGCTTCTTTCTTTTCTCTCTCATCAGCCACTGAACCTACCTGTGGCCTCAGTGTGGCTCAAGAGATGTCACTCTGGTCTCACTCAGTATCACAGCTGGTCCCTGCCTCAGGCCCCAGCTAGGGTTGATCACTTCATCCTAACTTGTTCAAGGCCCCATTGGGTTACCTGCCCAGGGATGCCACCTTCCTACTTAGAGCTGCCCTCTGCTCAGACTAGCTTTGCCCCATTGTGGCTGGGGCCCTGTCACTTGCTGATGCTCAGTCCACCTTGCACCTGGCCTTGGCTCTCTGAGAAACAGAGCCCTGAACTCCTATCACCAAGCTCTGTGATCTACAAATTCCTCCCCAACTTTGTGGGGTCAGGGGCTTTAAAGGTGAGCTGGGCTATGCCTGGTGTTTGCCCCTACCCATGGCCTCCTGGTTCCTATTGCTTGACTGACTCCCACATAGCACCTGAGAGAAGAGTGCTATACACTCTCCCCACTTCCTCATCCTTGGTTGCCTCCAAGTCCACATCTGACTAAAGCCCTCTACCTCAGTGACTCAGGCTTGTTCTTTGACGTGTGGAGAGAGCCATAGCTGCTCCCTGAGTGCTTGTGACCCTGGACATGGGGGTATGGGTTGGGGGAAGGCAGGGAGAGGTGAGCTATGGAACACTGAGCCCTACCTGACGGGGCAGACCTGGGAAGGTACATGATAGAGGATGGGCCATTGGGGTGAAGAGAGAAGGTAGGGCAGGATGGGAATGCAGGACACTAAGGAACACTTGCCCACTCAGAAGTAGCCAAGGCCTGAATCTGAAGTATGAGCCTTGGGGAGAGAATAGATAAATCCCCTCTCCATAATCTTCTTCCCTTTCTCCACTTCCTTCTCTTCCCTTCTCTGCCCATGGCACCTGCTGCTAAAGAGATGTACTGAGTTTCAGCTTTGCTATGGGTATCACATATCTGGGGGCTAGTCTGGGGGCCCTTCCTCCCACATGGACTGTCACTGTTTCCCAATGGGTTTTCTGGAGCTCAAATCCTGTATAGCCAGAGCTTGACTATCCTGGTGGGCCTGTGCTGCCTTGTTCTATACTGGACAGGACTCCCAACGGGCCATGATCGTGGCGGCCTGTTTCACTGTTTGTTGGCCAGCCCTAGTGTTCCCAGGGTGACTTGTACACCCCAGTGCTTTCAGCGGATAAGGGAAAAGTGACTACATGGCAGGACGCAGGAATGTGTGTATTGAGTTCTCCCCCATCCCAGGTGACTCTAAGACACAGCTAGGAGTGGGAACTCTTATTTTGTCAACTGCTTCTTGAACTTCAGTATGCATCTGAGTCATCTAAGGAGTTCGATGAAACATAGACTACTGGGCCCCATCCCCAGAAAGCCACATTCGGGAGATCTGAGGGAGGCCCAAGAATTTTGGCCATCTCCCAGCCGATAGATGCTGCAAGACCATGTACTACACTTAGAGCAGCGAGGGTCTGGCCCAACCTCTCGGCAAAGCAGGGCAGGGGATGCTGGTCCTCCACTCAAACACTCAAGGCTATGAGGGTTTGGGTTCCCACTTGAGGAGGGCAACAAACTCAAGTCAAACCCAACGGGTCATGTTGCCATGTGTCGGGCCTCCAGCCTGGCCCAGGTGGCCAGGGTATCAGGAGTATTAGCCACTGTCATTGGCTGGTCCCTCATTGACAGGTTGTCATTGACGGCAGAAACTTGGCCAATGGCAATCAATCAGGGGGCCCGCGCTGCCTTAAATACCAGCAGAGCAAACAGCCTCAGACAAAGCTGCGCCATATATCAATTACCAAGAGGCTGTGTGTTCCTCTGGGTGGAGGGAGCCCGAGCAAGCGGCCAGGGCTGCTGCCCCAGCTGATAAGGGCCTGCATTGTTCGGGGACAGCTGGCGGCCCGATAAGGGCCTGCTCGCCCGAGATAATGGCAGTGGGCAGGCGCCTCGCGGCAGTTTAGAATTTCTTGGGTCTCCAAGAAAGGTTCTATTAAGCCCACTGACCCCAATTGAATATTAATTAGCTAATTAACGGATTTATTGTTCCACGCCATTTCTGGAGAGGCCATTTTTTTTCGAGTGCCATTATTTTTGTAAATGATTTTTCGCATTGTGCATAATTGAATCTTTGCAGCTGCCAGCATCTTCTGCATGATTTGGCAAAAAAAAGGAAGCAGAAGCACTTAGGGTTTTTCACCCCCCCCCTCTCTGAACAAATGTTTTCAGCCCCTCCTGCTAATGCTGGAGCGAGGGGGAGGGAGGGGGGCCTGGCTCTGTTTCACAGGTTTGTTTTTTAAGCTAAACTGCAAAGTCCGCACTCCCTTTCCCTTCCTTTTGTAGGCAGCTGAGGGCCTAGCGCTCCTGGCGGTCCCGCACCAGGCCTTTGTCTGGCTGTCTTCAAACTGGCCAGACTTAGCTTTTCTGAGTCCCAACTCCTTAAAGTGTTAGAGTAGGGGGTAGGTAGAGGGAACAAGGCCCGAGCTTGTCACACCCAGAGCTCACAGGGGAGGAAGACCAGCTCTGACCAGGAGGGCAGTGCTCCCTGTGGGCTGTGCCTCTGTTTCTGCCCTCAGCTACCCCAGCCCAGCCTTTTCTAGCTAGAGCCTACCCTTGGGTCTGCTTGCTCTGGGGGAACAGAACCCCACCCCTGCACATCTCAGCTGCTCTTTAATGAGTCCTCGCTCCAAATTCCACGCCAGGGCTGCCTGACTCCCTGGAGCTGGCATCGGCCCATAATAAATTGACCCGGCCGGTCCCACAGGCAAATATCTGATTGAATCAAACCCATTCCTCAGCAGAGGGTCTGGAATGTTGGGGGGGGGGGGTGCGTGCACTGGGGTGGGGCTGGTGTGGGCGGCTCAGCAATATTGTCAGGCAGCATTTGGGAGCCCCCTTGGACCTCTCAGCCCCTTCAGCATTGTTAATGAAGCCAAGGACAGACAGAGGCTCCAGGAATATTAGTCAGGGCCCCCGGGTGGGCGGGTCTAAGGAAGGCTTGTGCCCAGGACCTGCCCCTGGCCACCAGGGGCTGCAGAGCTTTATTGGGATTTTTTATTAAGCCACCTCTTCCTGCCCTCATCCCTGTCCCTATTCTGCTGCTTGTGCTCAGAAAGAGGAATTCTGAAGGCCTTTCTGAGCAGAGAGATCAATCAGGAAGGAGTTTTTGCATCCTCCGCTGCAGACACTGGCTGGGACCACACCACCTGCCCATTTCCTTTGCTCTGGACTGGAATAAGAGCCCAGGGGACAGACAGACAGATTGTCATGGGCATCCCCGCCAGGTGCAAAAGTGGAAGGGACCCCAAAAGTCTGGCTAAGAGCTGGGAGTGGCGCTTAGAGTTGGGGAGGGGGGTCATTCAGCTTCCGTTTGAACACTGCTAGGGGTGGGAAGCTGACAGCCACTGAGGCAGCTTTCATACCGAGAAGGGTGGTCTTTATTACAGAGTCTGCCTGCTCCTTTCTCTCTGACCCCCACCCCGAGTCTCCCACTCCCCAGAAGAGCCACTCAGCTCACAACAGTAATAACCATAATAGTGTCTAATGTTAACTGAACTACTATATGCCACACACAGTACAAGGCACCTGTCACGCATCACCTCAATTTAGTGCTCCTATGGTCCCGTGAGGTAGGTGGGTTTCTGGGGCACAGACATAGGACGTAACCTGAGCAAAGGTCACTGGTGAGGGCAGTAGCACAAGACACCAAACCCCACTTTGCCAGACCTGAGCCCTCGCTTCTGACCACTTTGCTCCACGGTCAGGAAAACCATGCCCCCGAGGCTGCTCTCCTGTAGGGTAAAACAGCTCAGCTGCAGCACAGGCTCCTTGTCCTACATGGTCTGTCTTCTTCCTCCCACCCTGAACCTCCTTCCTGAATTCCAAAGACCAGAAGTGGTCTGGCCAGGAGAGAGCAGAGTGAGTCTGTCATGTGCCACATGTTAGACACCATACTCTGGTCGGCAATAAGGTTCTTGGCAAGAACCCCCTCCACAACCCCTCCCGTCCACTAAGGTTCACACTCATTGTTCTGAAAGGGAGCCGAAAAGATCGCCTTCTCCAGTTCTCTGAATTTTAGAAAAATTTGGTGTGATCCTCGCCAAGTGGGTTTCCTACAGCCCCAGAATCTGCTGAGGGACCCCCTCCTCTGAGCCCTGCGAGCTGAGAATTGCATGCAGCCTTCCTCAGGGTGTTAGGGGTGTGTGAGATGGAGGCCTCCAGCCTGGGCGGGGTGGGGGGGGGGGAGGGGGGGCAGTGGGGCTGCACCATCCGGCTCTCCCCTTCTAGACCATTTGAGTCCTGTTCTATTAATGTGACCCTGGCAGGACCCTCGGCCCTGGCAGCATACCTTGCTGGAGGGGCCTGGGGGCTGCAAGCCACATTGGGCTGTTTTGGGAAATTTCTTCCAGTTTCTTCTTTTGTAAATAAGAGTAGGGAAGAGACCTGTCCAAGGTCACCCAGCCACACTATGGAGGCAGGACCATGTCCTGTTCTCCTCTGCCTCAGGGAAGGGCCACTGAGTATTTGGTAATGGATCCAGGAGCCCAAGGTCATGCTTGGCTCAGAAGACTAAGGTGACCTCCTCTCGGGAGCCTGATTCTGAAGGTAGCACCCACTGGCCCACTGGTCATCTCAGTCAGGTTTCCTGGGATCCTGCCCTCATTGTCATGACCACATTCTAGGAGTCAGTATTGCTTAAACCCTAGTCCCCTACCCCCTGTACGTCTCTAATATGATGTTATCAAGCTCTCAACAGGAATCCTTTCATCAGATGGGACAACTCAGGCTCCAGGGAGCAAATCTCTTTCCCCCTAGAGCTTCAGGGTCCTGGCAGGGGTCTCAAATCCCTGACTTATCACTCAGGCTCAGTGGCCTTGGGCAAATCACATCCCTCTGAACATTGGTTTCTTAACTGCTCAGTGGTGGTAATAGTAAAGCTAGTCCTCATTTCCTGAAGTTTCTGGAAGACAGGCAAGAAGAGACTCTGTGCTTTTTCATCTGGAGCACCCAGTGCTATGCTGGGACTTGGGAATGCCACAGGACAAGTACAGGCTTCTGCAAACAACACTTTCGCTACGTAGAAAGGAGTTTAAAACATATATTTTGAAAAGCATATATTATGGACTGGCGGAATAGAGGTCGCCTTTCAGGGACAGTGACTGGAAGGGGCACTAGGGCTTCTTAGGGTGCTAATGATGAACCCTTTACTCTGGGTTCTGGTGACACAGGTGTGCTTCTTTTGAAAAATCATGGGACCAAGCACTTAAGATGGGAGCACTTCTGTTTACATTTCATTAAAAGCGTACCTTAAAAAGACTGAATTATGAAGATGTGTGTGAACTTTCAAGACAAAACACGAGACTTAAACACAATCTTGTGCATATGGCAGACCACACCCCTCCAAGGGGACTCCCAGTGGCTTGACTAATGATGATGGTTTTAGGCTCTAGGCAGATGGGCTGGGGGATATTCTGGGGTCTGGGGGAGCCTCCCAGATGACATAGAGAGGCTTTCACTTCTTTAGGCAGAACCACTTGTGAGCACACACGTTTCAAAGGACTCACGTCCTGGGGCGCCTGGGTGGCTCAGTCGGTTGAACATCTGACTTCGGCTCAGGTCATGATCTCACAGTTTGTGAGTTCAAGCCCAGTGTCAGGCTCTGTGCTGACAGCTTGGAGCCTAGAGCCTGCTTTGGATTCTGTGTCTCCCTCTCTCTCTGCCCCTAACCCACTCACATTCTGTCTCCGTCTCTCTCAAAAATAAATAAACATCAAAGGGCTCACGTCCTTTCTAAGAAAGGAGAGTGGGGGCTGTGCAGCCTCAGGCTTGGGCCAGCAAAGGCCCTGTGGCAACCTCTCCACTGAGCCCAACCATCTTACACAGGGTGACTCAGATTTTACTGGAGAAAAAATATCTTAGCTACATAGAGCCTGGGAAGGAGGGTGGGAGGGAGAGAGAGAGACAGAGGGAGAGAGAGTCAAAAGGAGACAGAGACTGAAAGGTAGGAAAAGAGAGAGGGAGAGACAAAGAGGAGACAGGGCAAGAGTCACAGGGGAGAGACAGAGAGCATTGGCAGGGAAATGTCTTTTCAGTGGGCAAGGCTGAATATCAAAGCAACCAGCATGGGGCATCAGAATCCCTTTCATGTTTCCAAGGCAGGGGATGGGAAGGAGAACAGCTTTGAAGGTTTCCTAGTCCCAGCCAGGCCATGCCTTGGAGCTAGGGCAGGCTGACTGCACAAGCTCCTCCCTTCAGAAGCTTTCAAGAGCCCATTCTAGCTGATGCCTCAGCCTGAGGGAACAAGAGAACAACAGCTTCCAGCTTTTGCCTGCCTGCCTGCCAGTTGACCCATTGGGACACTGGCCTCGGGCTTCGGCTGGGCTTGGGGCCCATGCACATTGGATCTCCCAGTTGCTACCTGCATGTACATGGCCCTTCCCCTCAAGCAACAGGGTCAGGGAGGGGGTGAAATGCAGGGTTGGATGGGACTGAATATATTGCTGCCTAAGGAGAGAACAGCCACCCCTCACCTGCTGTTCAAGGCCCTCCTTTCTGGCCCTCAGGTGAGGTGAGCGCATAGTCTGTTGATATTCTCTTGAAACGAAAATTGGGAAATTGGCCCTTGGACCCTCAGGCCTGGGGAGCTGTAGGGCCAGTGGCCCATCTGAGGACAAAGAAGGTCCTGCCTCTACTCTGAGTGCTACTCTGCCTTGTCTTCTCCTGGTCTAATACATACTTAACTCCAGTGGACGGGGTTATAAGCTGTTCTGCTCTTGAGGGGTTTAACGAAGCACCTGAAATCATACGGGAAGCTGGAAGACAGTGGCATGAGATTTTAGGCAACCAAAAAGTTCCCTTGTACTACACCAAGGGGATACAAGACCCCGCCTTTGGAGCCCTTTGGAGAGTGTGTTAGTATAGATGCTTTGAGCTGCAAGTAACAGAAACTCCCGACTCAAAGGAGCTTGAAGAATAAGAGTATAGGAAGTACAGCAGGCCCCAAGTACGAACTACCAGCAGCTGAATGAAGCTGTCAAGGACATGGGAGTTTCCCATTCCTCCATCCCGCCTTCCTTGGTGTCATTCTGCCTTCTTGGTTTTCCTTGTGGTCCTAAGATGCTTCCAGTGGCGGGGCGCCTGGGTGGCTCAGTCAGTGAAGCATCCGACTTTGGCTCAGGTCATGATCTCACAGTTCATGAGTTCGAGCCCTGCGTGGGGCTCTGTGCTGACGGCTCAGAGCCTGGAGCCTGCTTCCGATTCTGTGTCTCCCTCTCTCTCCGCCCCTTCCCTGCTCACATTCTGTCTCTGTCTTTGTCTCTCTCTCTCTCTCTCAAAAATAAATAAACATCAAAAAATTTAATAATAAAAAAAGATGCTACCAGTGGCAAACAGGGCTACCTGTTTCTTTATTCACATACCAAAAGAAAGACAGAAAACCTCTCCTCCAATCATAAATATAAGTCCTTAGTTTGACCAGGATAACTTGGATACCTACTTACCCTGGACGAATAATAAGAAAAAAGAGGTGCAGAGAGCATTCGATTTAGACTGATCATCTACAGAATGGAGGTTGGACCTTAACCAAATGTCCACCACAGAGGGTGTCTCAGGGAGATGCTCCCTTGTCTATATGAGAGAGAAGATGTCCGCGCTTTGACCCTTTCTAGTACAATCTCTCAACCAGACCTGTGTTGCTTCCTCCTGGGTAAACCTGAGAGAAATTCACCACCACAACAAGCGGGTTCTCACCAGAGGGATGCATACGCCTGCTAGTAACCTGATTTTTATTTCTCTCCAAACATTATGACCTGGAATTATTGGGTTAAGGAAGTGTTTGACCCATTTCTGCCCCTGCTTTCACAGGACCCTTCGCTCACAGAATATGCCCTCATCTGAGTCATTTGGGATATTGGGACCATTCTCAGTTCATTTCTCTATGAGGCCGAGATGTCTTCCCTGCTAACCGCGGGATGGAGGAGGTGGCCGCAGCCCATCTCAACTCGTAAGAAATTCTTTGCCCAATGTGTACACTTTTGCTTTGGCCATTTTATTCTCTGTACTGGAAGATGCCCTAGGAGCAGATCAAGGGTGAAAGTCCTTGGAGGGTCTATGGGAGGCTGGGTTTTCTGAAAAGGGGAAAAACAGACCTTGGAGGCTGTGGCAGGGTGGAGCATTTCACCTCCGCACCCCCAGAATGCTTCTAGTATATGTTTTTGAATGGATATAAAAATAAAAAAAGCCCGGCAGGGGGTCATGAGGAGCGAGCCATGCAAAACTCATTTCTCACCTGGGCAAGTGAAACTGCAGGTGTCCCCACCCTTGGTGTCTGCTCCCTCTGATTCTCCCTTTATATCACCCCAGAGTGATCTTTCAAAGAGTGCAGATCTGATCATGCCTTGTTCCACTTACAAAGCTCTGACATTTCCCTGTTCCTCGAGGATAAAGGCCCATCTCCCAGCCCAGTGGGAGACACCCCCGCTCCCAACCCTCCCGCCCCATGCGGCCTTGCTGCTCTCCTCCAGGGCCTCCGCATCCCTGTGCAGGCACACTGAACCTCGGGCCACCCTTCACCCAGGCCCCACTCTCTCCCACTTCTGGGCCTGTACCTACTGTCTGCTATGCTCATCCTCCCTTGTTTGATGGCTCAAGTGTCCTTTCCCCAGAACCTTCCCTGTCTCCCAGGCCAAGTTCGTTACCTCCCCTTTCTAAAGCTGTCGTGACACCGACCACACCGAGTTATGACTTTTTCACAGGCTGGCTCCTGACTCTCCTCCTCTCTGTGAGGGTTTTTTAGGGCAGGGACTTTGCTTCATTTCTTTTATAACTCCCTTGCCTTACCCTACATTAGACACTCAACATACATCGGAGAGATGGAAAGGTGGGCAGAAGGAGGAACAGGAGTTACATAAGGAGGGAAGGTGGGAGGGAGCGATGAATTAAACCAACGTTACTTTTTTCTGCCTAGGTCACTAGACGGCTATCAGAGATGCTTTGCGGTGTCTGGACTTTTGATAAATTCTTTCATAACTTCATCCGTGCCTGTGATGGAAAACTGCTTGACGCAGTGCTAGTCAGCTGTTTGGAGAACCGCCCCCAAAGATCACTAAATAATGGTAATCTGATAGGAGGTGCCTAGTGGTCAGCCACAGGGCTCTGCTCTGGGCCATGTTATGCTCAGTGTTTAGCCAAGAAAATGGTCCTCTCTGCTTTTAATTGGCGTTATTACTCCTTGGCAGAGGTGGCATTGAAAAAATGTCACCCCACGTACTACACTCTGCCACCTGCAGAACCTTTCTGGTCTATCGGGCCTCGGAGCCCTCCCCAGTAAAGGGCACCCCTGACCTCGATCATGTGCCTGATTCCCCAGACAGAGACCATCCGGCATCTCCAAGAACTGCACCCCTTTACTTGTTCCCTCCACCCCTACTTCTAGCAGCACCCCTGGTCACCTGTTCCACCTGGAGCTCCCCGGGTGGGGAGGAGCTCCCACCTCTAGGCACTTGCTTTGTCTCAGCCTCAAGTGTCCTTTCTCTTGTGTCTCCACCAGATGAATCTGAGGCCCAGCTCAAATAATTCTGCTTTCCTGGGCCCCAACCTGACCCATCAAGAGCCTTCTTCCTTGGTACTCTTGCTTCACTGCAGGCTCCCACCCTCCTTACTAAGGTGGAGCTTTGAGGAGTAGTGGCCAGTGAGGTTTTCTACGTGCCTGCAGGAGCGGACACATTGAAAGTGGCCATGGCTTGGAAAACAGGGGCTCGTGTCCCATGTCCTGCTCAAGAACCTATAACAGCTCTTTGTGTTGCAAGTCCGGGCTTAAACTCTTCTGTTCAGCTTCCTGTTTCCTATCCCCCACCTCAACCCCAAACCCACTCCACTTCTAGCGTCCCCTCTTGCATTTCAACCAGTCGAGATCCCAGACTTCCCCCTGTACCTGTAAGGCCTCCCTCATATCTCTGGCTATTCTTTCCGCAGGAAGCAACTCAATATCAGGTTCCTCTCAGGTGTTTTATGCCACGTGGGCCGCCCCTTCTTCAGAGTGCTGACAACATCATACTCACCCATTCATTCTTGCCACGTACTGCTTACATGGATGTGTATTCCTGAGATACCACAGAGCAGCTACCCTGTCCCCAGATGCAGAAGAGCTGACTTGAATTCTCTCCTCTGCACCACCTAGCTACATTACAATGTGCTTTATTTCCTCATCTGTAAAGGGGGGGGGGGCATTAACCTATGCACTCCCAGGGAGACTGTGAGATACAATATAGCAAAACAGGTGACGTGTTTTTAATAAGCAGAAAATTTTTCTGTTATGCGGAGCTGTCATTGGCCCTGTTAGGGGCAAATTCCCAGACGGTACAGACCTATGACCTCAGGAATTTAGACTGCCCACAGGGAGCAAGGAGCCCTCGATATCCTTCCTCTTAAACCTCTCCAGGCCCAAGGGCATTATTTTGCTGCACGAAGGGGCTACTGAGGAGCAGTGGGGAGTAGGTGGAAATGTGAGCATTCCTGTAGGGAATAAAGGCAACCAGAAGTGTAATCGGGATCCGATCCTCACCCAGATGGGTCAGAAGCCCGGAGCCTAAATCTATCGTAGGGCTCAAATCTGTGCCTCTTTCTCTGTATGGAGTTTTTATCAATGTCTGTTTCCCTACCAAAAATAAGAAAGCACGGCTTAAAGGGGTATAGGACTGGTAGAGTGCAGGAAGAAGGGGGACAGCAGTATGGTGCCTCATGCTTCGAGTGGCCATCAGAGACAAGGCCAGTGGCAGAAGGTAGAGTCTGAGTCCTGCTTGACCTGAGGAGGGCCTAGGACTTACACCGCAGAGGACTTGGGGTCCCTGAGAGGGTGGATCATGCCACTTTTCCCCCTTATATTCCCACTTTAACAGGTTCTGGTTCTGGGCTGAGCATTGGTGTGCATCCACTGCTGGAGGGGTGGGAAGAGAGCCTGTAGTGACAGCTACCACCACATGTCGCTGGGGAGGGGACTCAGAATGTGTGTGTGTGGGGGGGGTGACCTCTAAGATTACATAGCAAAGCCCCCAGTGAACAGAGCCCCATGAAGTTTGGAGCTCAAGTTAGAGGCCCTAAGTTAAAGAAAAAATGTTAGGGAACCCCCCCTATGTGATTTAGATAAATATAACATCTAAATTGCAGAATAAAATTACATTCTTGAAAGAAGCTTTTATATATATGCTGAAATTAAGACCACTCCTTTGTAGAGTCTTTCTCTCCCCCCTCCCCCCGCCCATCTGGTTTGGGCCAGAGGGGAAGAAGACAAGGGTCACGATGCTCACTGTTGGCATCACTTCCTGGAGTCAGAGGGGCCTGAGCAGGGGCCTCCCGTCATAGAATCGAGCTGCTTTTGGAGTTGATGAACTCCTGTGTTCCAGGCATAGCCTACATCATAATACTCAGGGGTCATTTCCACCACCCCTTTCATTTTGTGCACCGGATCATGAGCCCAAGGGTTCAGGCTCAAAAACTCCAGAACCACGGAGAGTTCCAGAGAGTTCTCTGACCCTGCCCTGGTCTCCATAGGGCATGTTCAAGCCTTAGATTTGGGCGGGGACCTTTTTCAGCACTGAGGCCCCAGAGGGGCCAGTGGCCACCACTGAGAGCCGGTTTTTCCCCCTACTCGCTAGCGATTTCTCGCCATCCAGCTCTCCAGCCTGAGCCTGTCCTGCCCGGTCTCCATCGGGCTCAGCTTTCCTGAACTCACTGGGATGTGTGCCTGGAGAGAGAAGAGCCTCAGATGCTTCTACCTCCTCCCTTCCCAGCAACCCGAAAAGGCTTCTGTGAGGAGCCACTGTCTGAGGAGGACAAGGAGCAGGGTCCCTCTTCAGATGGGAAGGGCACAGTAATTAGTTTGAACAGGGAGGGAAGAGTAGCCCATTTCATTGCAGGGAAAGAGGATTTTTAAATCATTTAAAGGGTGGTGTCGGCTCTAAAATGGCTTGTGGTGGAGCCTCAGAGGGGCTAGTAATTGGCTCTCATGTCTCTAATGAAAGCAGAGGGCCAGGAGGAGGGGTCACCTAATGAATACAGGGATTAGCTTCCAAATAAGCCCTAAGTAAGTAGGCAGGTGCAGGGGAAGGGGTAAAGGACAGGACTGGGTCATCAGGGCCCCGGCTGAGGGGCGGCCAGCCCATGGGAACTTGGAGAAGGGGTCCAGGCTCTCCTGAGGCCCACAGAACCAGTGCCCCCCCAACCCTGCTTTGGGCAAAGTTCCCTTCACTCCTTCACTGTGAGAAGCTAGGGGTGGGTGGTGGCCTGATGTCCCCAGGCTAGAAGCAAGGGGCTCTATCGTCAGCCACATTCTGGAAATCCATAGCCCTGCATGAAAGCCCAGGGTGAAGTAGGGAAGTATCACAGGACACACAAAACAACCCTTCTCCCAGGGGCACCTCATGGTGTGTGTTGTTGGCAGCAGACAGGGGCCCCCACACCTCCGTGCCCAGGATACAGTCATATCAGGTGGGCATGAGAAACCCACCTGCCTCGGCTTCTCTCTCGATCCCTGGAAGCAGGAAGGCCCAATAGGGGCCCTGAGGCTGAGCCTAAGCCTGGAGTACCTCCCCCCTCAGAACAGGCCAGCAGGCTGAAGGCAGTGAGGTCTGGAGAAAGGGAAAGAAGGACCGGTCATGTCAGCCCCATTGTCCCGTGGCCCTCTGGGCATTGCCAATTCCTGCTTTTACAACAAATCCTCTTTTCCCCTGGAAAACGGGTCATGCAGAGTCTGCAGAGAAACTACTTTCTTGGTGCATCCTCTGTGGAGGACAGTAACTCCAAGTGTCCAGAATAATCAGGCTAGATTCCCTAGAAACCACGATCCAGCCAACATATCCCAAGTTAGTGGCATCATGGGGCAGGGAGACTGGCGATGGCAGCCAAGAACCCAAGCCCAATTTCTTGGTATCTTAAGGAATAATTTTTCTTATTAACCCAGAAAGTAAAGGGAGAGAAGCACTGAGCAGACATCAGGATTGAGCGGCTCTTCCTCTCCTCCATGCACTGTGTGCCCCAGCAGGATCCCTGCGGGAATGAAGGCCTCAGGATGCAGGAGACATGGCTCTGGGCCAGGCTGAGGGCCAGAAGATCAAACTCCCAACCTAGGCTGGCTTCGGTGTGCCCCTGTCCATCACTCTGGGCCTCAGTTTCCCCAAAGCAAGCCCATCAGATAAGATGGTCTCTAAAGGTGGGTAAGAAAAGATCATTCTTTCCCATTCTATCTAAAGCAGGCCTCTCTCCGGCCACTCCACACTATATTCAGCTCGTTACTGACCTATTTATTTATTGCCGATCTCCCCCACTAGACTATAAACCCCACATGGAGAAGGACCCTGTCTACCTTCTCCACTGGGATTTCCATTCCCCAGCACCTGCCGCCATGGCTGGCACATAGCAGGCTGGCTTCCTGACTGACTGAATGCTGGTGCACTGGGGCCTGCCTCACCGATAAAACCCCCGGCCCAGGGATTGTGGAACTGCCCATGACAGATCGCTGCTCCAGCCTGCACTGCCTCTGATGACATCGTCTGGAACCGTTCATTCCACTCAGCATTCCGCAGAAGCCAGGCCCAGCAACAGGCTCATTTAGGATGTGCTACAAGGGACAGAAGCATCCAAGTCACTTACTCTTCCTCCCTCGTCTTTCCCTCTCTTACCCAAGGACCACCTTCTCAGCAGGGGGATGGGCCATAGACAGAAACAGGGGCAAAGTGGGGGGGTCTAGAGGATTATTCATGGGTACCATCTGCCTGTGAGCTCCCAGGCCCTTCCCCATACAAGGGCTGTCTCTAGGTGTCAGTTTCACATGGGAATTACCTGACTGGAATCTGGAGTCAGACCAGGCCTGAGTTCAGATCCAGTCCTATTACTTACTGGAGTAAGTAATTACTTTGAGCCTCAGTTTCTTCAGCTGTAAATCGGGGATGATGATGATAATCTCACCTCCCTCACAGAGTTACTGGGCACTGTTTTTATTTATGAAAGCCTGCTTCATTTGTCTGCCTGGCTGTTTTCCCCCACCAGTCCCAGGGTGCCGTGCCCTTTCCAGGGAGCACGCACTGAGGCCCAGAAGCAGCCCATGGGGTGCAGCAAGAGGTTGCTATGGGGAGCCCAGGCCTCTTGCAAGAGGGCCCCAGGCCTCAGAAGCGGCAGGCCTGATGCGGGTTGTATCAAGTCAATGCTCCGGCAGCAGCTACATGTTCTGGCGTTTACCACGAGCCAGCTGCAGTTGTGAGTAGGTGCCGTGTGACGACTCATCTAATGCTCAGGGCAGTCCTGAGGGTAGGTGCTATCTGCACCCTTCTTGGAAAGATGAAGAAACTCCTCACCTGTAAGATGAGAGTGAAGCGAGCAGCTCAAGGCCATGCAGCTGTCAGGCATAGGAGCTATGGTCTGAACCCGCCTAATCTGGCTCCTGGGCCACATGCCACCACTGTGCCACATTGTCCTTTGCCACCACAGCTGTCCTCACTCCACCCCTCCCCTGTAGATTCTTCCCAGACCTGTTGCCCATTCCCTCTGCTCTCCTACCTTGTCTCATCTCTTCCCATCTGTTTCTCTCTATCTCCCCTCTTTCCTTCCTTCCCCCCTCTCTTACTCTCTCCCGTCTTTCCCTCTCTGTTCCTCTACCTCAGGTAACTGTGCCACCTTAGATAGGGAGGGGGGCAGAAGTAGGGGGCCCTGGGTCACTCTG